ATCAACACTCCCGCCCAACTTGGTGTCGTCTGCAAACTTACTGAGAGTGCACTCAATCCCCTCATCCAGATCATCGATAAAGATATTGAACAAGACCGGCCCCAAAACTGAGCCCTGGGGAACACCGCTCGTGACCGGCCGCCAACTGGATTGAACTCCATTCACCACAACCCTCTGGACCCGGCCGTCCAGCCAGTTTTTTACCCAGCGCAGAGTACACCTGTCTAAAATGATCTTTCTGCTTGGAAGCTAGTATTGTTTCATTCACTATTTGTGTTGGAGGGGGTTCTATAAATATCATCCCAATTTAAAAAAGGACTGGTGCTTTTAACTTGATGTTGTTTCCAGTGTTTTCAGCTCAAAATGCATCATATTTGTTTCTGAATTAATTAATGAATAACCTTAGGGTAGCTATTAATTGACTTAGGATGATTTATTTAGTTCCTATTTAACCTGTCTTGCATCTCTCTTAACACTTGCAGATTGTTCATGCACAGAGTGTGGTAAATAGCTGTATCCCTTTGTAGTAGGGATTTAAATTGCACATAAGTGTAATGTGTGTTCTAGAAGGGTAACTTGCATCCCTCTTCTTGTGGTCATTTGGTTACACTTTGGAATACTTTGGAAGTATTCTTAAATGTTTTGTTTGTTTTACCATAAAACAGAACTTCAGTAAGAGCATACTTTATATGGAGGTTGAATATGAGAAAATACCGTCTTTACAGCAAAATTTAGAATTGGAATCATTGATCTTCAATGCATGACCTGGTATGTTCAGGAAGAGCAAAAACATTATTTAAACAGAGGAAATTTAAATTTAAGAAGAGGGATGGCTGGAGGCTCTTTTTAAAGATTAAATGAGAAGAGCAATAACCTTTATTCTTCTGGAAAAGGGGGAACTGAATGGTGAAATATTTTTCTTCAGAATAAATAGAAAAAGATTATTTCTTCTCCACTGACAGCTGTAGTACATGTAACCAAATGGTGTAGGTGTCACTGGAAAGTTTATTGTAATTCCTAATTCACATAAACTCTATTCGTGAATAGTGCTATCAATGAAAAAACTGTTAGAAGAATTGGATCTGAAAAGGAAATGGACAGTTACCTATATGAGAAATGAATGCAAAGTATCCAGTGGATATTCCCCAATTAGGTACAAAAGCAATGGCTTTGTTCCTCTCTCAAGCCTAGGACTATTTGGAACTATATGATAAAAAATTAGAGCATCCTGAAGAATATCAGAATATATTCTGGATCTCCCTTAAGTGCGCCTGTGCTGTGACACTTCCAGGACTGTTCATGTAACTTACCAGATTGTTCCTGTTTCTTTGCAGACCTTTTCAGTAAAGTATGAGGTCAGATTCTGTGTGAAAATGTCTGTGATAGGAATTCCTAAGACCGAAGATGGCTAATGGCTTTTAAAATCTAAAAATGCCATCAATGGATACATTCCTGATGGTCTTCTGTCACGTGGTCTCCTATTATTTGGCTGCTCACTGCTCACCTAGTAATTATTGCTAATACTGAAGAATCAAGAACTGCCAGACCCTAATTATTTGGAGGGAGGAAAACTTCCAGTCAATGTTTCAGGGAGGCGGAAGACTCAGTAGAAGTGAGCGTATTTCACAGGCTCTATTTTTCAGTGCTCTAGTATTCTTACATATGTTTACATTTTTCACAGTTTTAACGTACTTGGCTAGAGGTAAGACACCTTAAAGGTTACACTGTGACTAAAATTTAAACTGAAACAATTTCAGTTAATGGCATTTCCTCATGATTAATGATGAAGGGAATCTCTTATATCATCAGTTTCCCCTCATCACTTACTCATTCTCAGAAGTGCCTTGCATCTTGAAAGCACTAATAGGTTAAACTTAAACACTAAGTTAAACTAAGGGCTTAATTCAGAATCCATGTGAGTCAGTGAGAAGGTTTCTTTGAAGGGATAACTTCAGTAGATTTTGGGTTTTGTCCCAAGTGACCAGGGACATATTCCTACATCTCTGCAAGCAGAAAGGTCATCCACACAGTTGAGGTTGTATTTGAACAGTAAACAGTAGATTTTTGTCATTTAACCAAAGAGAATGGTATCATTTTGGCTTGCGTAACCTGGCAGGTCAGTGAAAAACTAAGAACCTTGATCTCCTGAATCTTGGTTCTTTATCTATACATGAGGCCTTGCTGGTCTTAATATAAATCAAGACATTATCTTTCTTTTTCAAAGAGACCGTTTGTGAAGCTGAACATGCTGTGTAATGTAAGAAAGGAGAAATTAAGGACAAAACCATCAAAATAATTCTTCAGTCTGTGGTCAGTGACAGCAAAGATGCCAAAATGAGATACTTTTTAGAGCATTTTAAGAAAAAGTCACTTGGGTCTGGTATTCCGGTTTGGGTTGCTACCAGAGGCACTGTTGATAATGGGATGTATGCATCTAATTATTTATTTAGACTTGATAGGTTAAGAGTAGGCAGAAGCACATCCGATGAAAAACAAAAGAGAACATGGACTCAGAGATTACTTGGACGCTGCACAGGAGTTTGAATCAGCTTGTCTGTGCTAAGGTTACACACTAAGTATTCTTCAGACGTTAGTGAAGAAAAGAAAAAGGAAAAGAAGTATGTTCAGTGCAACAGCTTTCTTTCCCAATTTCTCTATTACAAGCAGCAATGTAAATTTAATTATAAGGAGGCAAGCGGAAGATTCAGAGTAGGCGTAATAGTGTACAAATCGGTGGGAAAAATGTAGTTACGCAGTCTTAATAAGCTACTTATGCCAAGAAGCACTAGTGCTGTTCTGCCCTGAGGGAATGACATTAATCAAGGACTGCTGGCACTCAGTCATGTTTCCAACTTGGGGATTATATTCCTTCCCATACGTACCTGATTTCTAAGATTCTATCTGTGTAGATGCACAACATAATGTTCTTGACAAATTCACTAATATTCTGGGGCACTCAAGTACATAGAAAAAATCCAAATGAGTGTCAAATACATGTTGGTGATTATGACACTAAAATCAAGTGATGCAAGTCGCATTCTAGGATCTGCTTTCAAATATCTGTATATATGTATAAGTCCTTACAGAGGATTAAATTAGAAACTGGTCTTTGCTATATGGTATGAAGAACAGAATATGAAGAATATGTATATAACATCTGTTTAACCAAAAATAACATGTATGAATGTTCTAGCTCCAAAGACCTGAATACTGGAAGACTGCTAAAGCCGATCCTTAAGGCAGAGATGACTTCGTTGTGGTGATCTGTATAGATCAGAGAAAGTGATACACAGAGAAAGACAGTCTAAGTCTCATTCATGAGAATGCACAGACTCAGAGCTACTGTAGAACTACTGTAAATCAACCATAGTTATTTTTTACTGGTACTAATTCCTAGATGCTCCAAAGAAGGATCAAGGTTCCTTTGTACAAAATGTTGACATACATTAAAGGAAAAAAATGTCTCTTGCTGTCTTCTTCACTACCAAGGAAAATCAATTATCATCTGTCTGTCAGGCAGAGCACTCTTCTGACAAGAATCCTCACTTAACTGTAAGCATAGGATAGGTATTGGAGACAACTTAATGCAAATGACAGTGTTTAATTTTATGTTATTATAGAATATTATATTACTGCATATCCTCCATGTTGCATATTTTTCCCACTCCAAAGAATTTACACTTGAAAACCTAAGAACTTTGTCTTGCTGGTGATCGCTTTTAAAGTGATCTAGCCTAGATTCTTCCCTTCCTACTCTTGCTTTCATAGCAGTATCAGAGAAACATTTTTGAAGTCTTAAATCCTTTGCTTAAATTGGGCAGTGTCCAAACACTAAACAAGCTATAATTTATTTTGGAATATTTTACTTTTTTTCCTACCTCTTTAGTACACTACTGACATAAGGGATTTTAGTTTTGTCAGTGTCTTCAATCTAAATGCTATTAGGTTTTAAAAGTGATGTGTAAAAATCAGTAATATTCACTTACAGTTCCAGATAAGCAAAATTTAGCAGTGCCTGTATTTTTTCTTTTGCATCCTCTAAATAACCTTGAAAAAATTAGAATGAATCAATTGGGATTATACTGGAATGCAACCAGAATAACGAGATTGCAAAGGACACTGTTCCCAAGGCATACATTTTTAGTAATATACAGAGTTGTAAGAAGATGACTTCCATATCATTCCACCTCCAGGGTGAATAAATATACTGTATGAATTCACAAGTTAATACCTTCTGCTGTATGTTAATTTTTCCAAGCCCTAAAAATCTCTCTGCAGAAAAATCAATAAGGCCTCAGTGTCTGGAAAAAAGTCTTTATCTAATGATTTAATATATTTATTTCGAATTCTAGCAGCTTCCATTAGCTGCTAATTCAGAAAGTATTTCTAGGATGTTCTGGTGCTTGTCCTTTTCTTGGATAAGATTTTAATGGTAAAATGTTAAGTGAATGATCTAGCAGTGTAAATTAAAATAACATCTAAAAGCATATTCTAAAGTGATTGAAAACTTTACTTGTACTGCTGAAATGGGAGAGTGTTAAATCATAGAAGCAGATCTCTTTCCAGGGATTCTTTTTTTTTTAATCTGCAGTTTTAGATTTATAGCAATCCACTGAAAATACTGAAATGGTACTAGAAATATTTTTTTAAAAAGGAGGAGTTTTGCAGATTGATTTGGTTTTTTCCTAGTTTATTCATCCAAAGAATGTGATGAAAACTCTCTTACTGGTGCTGTGTATTATCAACAAAAGCATGGAGCATTATAGAGGTTCTTTTGCTTTATCCGTTTTAAAACATGAATCACCCTCACATTAAGGATGGACCTCTTGAACAGAGTAATTTGCCTTTTACTTGCATGTAACCAGGACTCAAAATAGGAATCTCTGGGACTGAAGTCAAGGGCACAATTCCCATGGATTTGGGAAGCATTCTACCCGAGGCATTATGCAAGATCACATGAATACCTCAGAATCAAAGGCTGAAGTGTATGTTAGTGAGAAGCATGCTTTGACAACAAAAGATACGCTGGAGAATGTTGACTTATGAGATGGTACTAAAGCTGAAAAAGCAGTAATTTAAAAATGTTTCATTTTACTGGATACCTGCATATTTAAATCTGGTTTATTTGCAGTGGGTTTTCACTGTGTTGTATTCTGGGGATAATTTGACAAGTTTTTGTGATTTCCTAACACTAACAAATTTCTGCCTTGGTTTTATCTATTAAGTGATTTTTTAACATGATAAAAACGATAATCCTCATCCTGCCGAGCCTGAAAAATATAAGCAGTCCTACTGAAGTCAACAGGATAATTCATGTGGAAGAAAAGCTATTCATATGCTTGAGAGTGTTCAGGTCTTAAATTTTTTGCATAACCTCTTCTCAATAGTGAGAATGCTATGACTTTACAATTGGTTCACAGTCATTCTGCATGGTAGAGAAATATACATCCTCCAGATCTTAAAAACTGATATACTGAGAGGGGAAATTATACCTTATGACTATTTCACATTTTCATTCCATGACAAAACAAAATAATCACATATATTCCTGGAGAAAAATAATTTTATGTGAATAAAAATAATTAATTTTCAAGTGAAAGGTGGATTAAATTGTTAGAGAAGTGAGTGAACATAATTATTTTTTCATAATTTCCCTGGAGGTTAACCCTACACACACCATTTATTTTTTTAATGTAATACTGCGCAGAGGTCAAAAGAAGTTGATTGGCAGCACTTTGTCTTGTCTTTTCCTTTTGTTTCTGGAGTACTGAGTTTACACTTACCTGTGTGCTTCTACTACTTACTGTTTTGGAACATTTTGACTGTATGTGTATTTGTAATTAGGCCTTTACAACCATATCTTTTGGGTGCTTACATCTAAATACAAAATTACTCTAATAAATTAATTAAATTTCCATACACTCCAATGCTTGATAGCATTTCAACTTTCAACAGTTTCTCCATTGACTTTAAAAGGGTTTTATATTAGGACAATGATTAATTTCTTTCAGATCAAGCTACTTCAGTATTAACTTAGTTCCATCTTCCTGTTTTTTGCTATAGAAGTTCAGTTGTAATTATTGATTACACACTTCTTCTAAACTTAACTTATTGGTCTATCCTTTTCCGATAGAGCTGGGAAGCAACATAACAATGTAAGTATCATCCCCATAAAGAAAATGAAGCTTTTTCTTGATGGTCCCTAATTTTTCAATAGTGTAAAATTTATAGATTGACATAGTACTAAAGGCAAGAGTTATTTTTGGCCTGTATTCCCAATTACATGGCCATTGGAAATCTTTTAGGAAAAGATTAGACAAGCATCTTCTTGAATTAATGGAGGTATAGTCTTGAAACAGGGAGTTGGAAAGTATGATCTCTAAGGGCCTCTTAGAGCTTTATTTTTTAATTTAACTGCGTCTAATTGTCAGATGCCTACAATACATGTATTGACAATTTAAAATTGATGATTGCAAGAGTTGATTAGTTTATGATTTCAAGAAATTACATGAGTATAGTTCACAAAAATAAGGAATAAACTTATCAGAAGTGAAAAAGCAGTGTTAGACAAAGTTGGATAAAATGCTGGTATATTTTTCTAAAAAAGCTACAAAGCTGAGGAGGGGAAATGATGCCTTTGAATAGTGGTACTGTTCAGATGGAGAATAGAAGAACGTTCAGTTCTTTTATCCTTTGGCTGAATGTTAAAAAAACACTGGGTAAGCAACACTAATTTTGGCAATATTGTGTGTGGACACAAAAAATATTTCCCCTTGCTTTAATTGCTGAGCTGGGTTGTTTGTTTTTTGTGGGTTTTTTTTGTCACAATGATCTAAATGACTGGGAAAGTAGTCTACTAAGCGTTGCCATAAAAATTTTTACAGTGGGCTGTCTGAAAATGGATAGCATATTAACTGAATAGCAAGAATAAGAAAAGACTTCATAATTTCTACAAATCTTTATAGTTCCACTTATGTTAGCGTTGCCAGAGAAAAAATAAGAGGCACATAACTAGTGAAATAATTGAGAATTCACTCGATGGAAATAGAATTTGTGTAGTCTATATGGAAGTTTATATAATTTGAATAACAATAGCAGAAATAAAGCTATCAGGATAAATGTAAAATATACATTTATCAATATACAATGTAGCATATACCACAAGCAGTGCTACAGCCTATGGCTTGATAGGAACATGTAATAAATTTTATATAGATTCCAAATTATCTCTCTACAAGGCTCTAGTCCATGAAATTACTGTAATAGAAATAGCAGTAGAGAAATTACAGTGGAAAGATAACTCAGCACATTCAAATTGATATTGCTGAAAAATACATCATTATTGACAGATAATTATAAATGTTACTAAAACTACAACTGGAAGGAAATTTGTGAAATTATTTCTGCAGGATTTATGTTAGGAATAAACAGCCATAAAGTGGATCAGATCATAAAACTTGGAGGATGTCACACCCCAGGAGAGAACAACACAAATGCATACTGGAAAGACTAGAAAATATTAAAATAAACAGATGTTATCTCTGACACCTTTTCAAGGCTCGGGGTGGTCCTTTAAAGTCATTCCACTCTTTTTCCTTTGACATCTGTTTTCAGCTACAGATAATAAACAGCCATAAAGTGGATCAGATCATAAAACTTGGAGGATGTCACACCCCAGGAGAGAACAACACAAATGCATACTGGAAAGACTAGAAAATATTAAAATAAACAGATGTTATCTCTGACACCTTTTCAAGGCTCGGGGTGGTCCTTTAAAGTCATTCCACTCTTTTTCCTTTGACATCTGTTTTCAGCTACAGATACCTCCCGATAGAATCCAAGCCTTTTTCTTCATTACCTTTCTCCTGGAGTCTGAAGGGATTGTTCAGGCATAAGGATAGTTCATTAAGTTTAATTCAGGAGTGTACAGTATTCAGTCTAGCTTGTGTGGTTACTCATGTAGTTCCTTGTTTAGATTTTGTGAACTTCAGCGATGCCTTGGTAACTCAGATCCTTACACTTTTTTTTTTTTTCTTTCCTTCTGGCATTTCTGATTCTGGGGGAAAGTAGAATGCATACATTTCATACTGATAGAGCTTGTATTAACTACACTAAGAACAGATGAGCCACGCTCTTCTCACAACAAAAGTATGTTGGTCCAGACCCCTTAAAGCATTTCCTCCCTCCCCTCTTTCTCTCCTCCCACCAGAAAATATTTCCTGTAATTTCTTTGTCCTAACACTTATTTTCATTATTTCTCAAGTTCAACAACTTCAAAAACCTTAGAGAGCCACATCCTGCTAGATAGCTTCTATGTTCTACTGTCCATGAAGTGGACATTAATAGTCTTGTTTGCAATTTAGCGGAACTGGGATTAAATGCTTTTACGCAGTGTGGATTCTACCTAAAACTACACCGCAGGGTATTCTTTTGCCACATGGAAAAACAAAGATATGGACTTATGGCCAATTTGAATGGAAAAAAATTAACTTCAGTGCAGTGTTTTGAAAAGAGTACATTGCTTACTCTTTGAAAAGAGTAAATTTTTTTGAGTCAGATACACAGAGATAAATCTTCAGTGGCATGTTGGCTTCCTGTACCAAACAATATGAAAGAATTTCCAATTTTCTTAAGATAAATATCTTGTTGTTCACTTTTTCATCTTATAATGCCACTTCACTTTTTAAAAACAAAAGGTAACTACAAACCCAAGATTGATCTATGTTTTAAATGTATCTTAGAAATGTGTACCAATCTGATTTTTCAAATGATCTAACAATAAAACTTCCTGGACAACACTGCACCTTGTAAGACCAAATCACACAGCAGTTGAAATACCAGATGAACTTCAAGACAGACAAACGTAAAGTGATGGACGTGGGGAAAAACAATCCTAGCCTCACATATAAAATGGTGGGCTGATCATAACTATGCAGGAGCTGGACGTTAGTTTGTGAAACATCTGTGCAAAACTTCAGCTTAATGCTCTACACAGGCCAAAAAAGAAAATTGGATGTGAGGAATTATTTGAAAAGCAGTATGAAATAAAACAAGGGGATCGTTCTGATCCCCTTATCTCAGAAAAGATGTATTGGAACTAGAAAAGATTCAGAGAAGGGTAACAAGGATGACCAAAGCATGGAACAGCTTCTTTACAAGGAACAACTGAATAAGGTAGGATTTTTCCTACCTTTCAATAAGGTAGGAAAAAAAAGGCAGTTTAGTAAGGGTTATGGCAGAGGTTGCAAAATCACTGGCGGCATAAAGTCAGCAGGACTTCTAATAAAAGAGCCAAGGCCAGGAGGAGCCAAGTTCAAAACAAGCAAAATTCTTCAGACAGCAGCTAAGTTTTCCGTGAATCTCCTCACTACAGGATGTTGTCAATGCAAAAACTTGACATTAGTTCAAGTGGAGCCTGGACTAGTATTGTAAAGGAAATCTATTGAGGGTTACTAAACAGAAAAAGCAAAGGAATCCCCTCACCTGAAAGTAATCAGCAACTAGGAAAGTACGTAGGGGCAGTCTTATATGTCATTGCCATGTTCTTACTAATCCCTGAGCATTGATGGTTCAGGTCCTTTGAACAAATAACGAGGTAGCTGTGGAACACTACTTGCATTTGTTCTCATGTAAAGGCCAAGGGCCTGTTTTCAACGATGCTGCAGGCTTCCAGTCTTGCTGGTTCCACTGGAAATCCCTCAGTATGTCTTTAAGTCAGTCTGGTGTTATCTTTTTGTTAGTGTTCCTTCAGATGGGATTGCTATGAATACAAAGCAGTTGCAATGTATCTTATAAAAGCGATTTTCCTAGCAGAATGGGGAAGGTTTTTTTCAGATGAAAATGGGAAGCATGTGGTGATACGTCTGATACATCTTTGTCTTCAGAAAGCAAAGGAGGGAAAATTAAGAAATATATGAGCTAGTCAATTCAGAGATCCACTAGCTGCTTCAAGCCAGTTATATTCCAATGCCTCATTTGCTCATATAGGAATATAAATCAGGATATATTTTACCTTTGCAACCTTTAGAGGCAGAATATAAGTAAGGATAAAATGTGATCGGGAGAACTAGAAATTTGCTTATGCAATTTTGGATTGACAAAAAATTCTCTCTTCAATTTAATTGATTAAAGTAATACCTAAATTCCTGGGATGATATCCCTCCCAGGAAAAAAAAAAAAAATAGAATGACCAATAATTTATGTATAGCAACCTATTTGTAAAGAAAAACTCACATTGTATTTATCTCTCTACCCTTCCCACACAATCCAATTTTTTATATAGCAGTTGCTAGAATTTGTAGATTACAAATGCAAGGATTTTCACAGAAAAGCAGTTCAAAGAAATGTCCTTGATCTTGTCATAGTAATCATCATCCCCTGAGCTTAGCATTTTACTGACTATACTATTACTTTTCATGAATAAAGACGACAAGTTCTGTGGAAATAGCCATGTTTTCAGCACATCATTAGTGAGTTTCAGGAGAAAATTATACAATAGCAGTGACACAGAGCATATAAGGAGCCCTTAAAAACAGACTTTTATTGAATTAATGAAAAGGCAATGATGTTAAGGAAGCCAAGCAATTAGTACCTCATCCCTTATGCTCCACCTGACGGTATAAATGGTTTCTATTTCTGGATGGAGCAGGAAATCTTATTTTACCCTCCAAATCCATGTGAATCCAATTTCCAGAAATGTAATACTCATATCTTAAAAAGATACATAAGGCTTCTTTAGGGTTAATGCTCAAATAAAATAAAAGTTCAAAGCTTTCTAATTTATAACTAGTGGAAGAAACTCTTAAGAAATCAATAGCATAGATAGAAATATAAATAAAGCCAAGAGAACCTCCTTTTGAATGCGAGTTAGCAGCAAAGTTATTTTCTAGGGCCAGGTTCTGCCTTGATTTCCTATCTATGAAATACAGTTCATTGATCTCAACTTTCAGAGAAAACACAAAATACAGTGATCAATCCAATGCAATATTTATATCTGGAAAACCAAACAAAAGCAATACAAATCTGAATATGAATTTTAGTACTGTAAAACTAGTTATTTCCAACAGGAAAGCAAGACTTAGGTGATGATGGATATGATTTGCTTCTCTTTAACATTTTAATGAGAAATATGCATTCTCAACCATTTTCATAAGAGCCAGTAAAATGGGACACAAATCTTCAGTGAATTCTCTAGCTTCTGCTATACAAAACCCACTTGATCTAGGTAGCACAGCCATAATTCTGCCATGTAGCTCTGTATCTGATCAATTCCTCAATTTCAGGAAAAAAATTTAGTGTCAATGGGCAGAGTGCTTTTGATTTGGTGGGCAACCAGAAAGCCAAAAAGGGGAAAATGGAAAACCTGTAGAATCTGTTCTGCTTGTTTAGTAGAGTGACAGACTTGAGCACCTTCATCATTTTCCATTAATCAAACAACCGGTTTTATAGAAAGGGCAAAATGGAAATGTACTCACACTCTGTAGAACAAGGCTGGAAAATGACTCCTAGAATGTAAATAAGGAACACAAATGGCATAGCTTTTAGTATGTAAGGGTAAAGGACAAAAGGAATCCTTGTGATTTTGGATAGTCAAAATTAGGGTATACACAGAATTAATGGCAGATACAGACTCCAAAAGATTCCTAAGGAAAGGTGGCACACAGGAGGCTTTTGTGTTGGAATGGAGGGAGCCCTTGATGTGTGCAAGAAATCTGGCTTACAGAGATTACAGAATATGTGATCTCCTGATAAGTAACAGGATATTCTTGATAATGTTATATGACATTGAAAGAAAAATAATTGGCTTTGGGAAAGAGCTGCAGTGATTCAGCAAGCTATTTAACGAGTCCCCTCATCTGAGTACAGTACATCCTGCTCACCCACATACTTTCCATTTAAATGATCTCCTACTATACTTGGTGACCTTTGACCACACTCAATACAATAGCACACAAATTAACTTGGTGCTATTATGAAACATTTTGTCTCATCTCTCAGACCGAGACAGTTTTGTGGGAAGCAGACAGAATACAGGCAGTGGTGGGATTTCCTTTGGAACACACTGAAGGCCATCATCTGACATGTGGGAAAGAGCAACAGCTCTAAAACATGATGAGAGGGAGGCAGAAGTGTCTACAGAAAAAAAAGTTTATTCTGCATTTTTACTAGCCGCTTCTAATAAACCTTCCTTTTTTGCTTTGTTGTTCACATAACCTATTCTGGAAATCATTAGGGGGCAGAGTAGGTGAGTCAGTTACTGGGGAACAGCAGTTAGAACAATGGTTGGGAAATGTAAATTTTACTTTGCAGAAGAGTCGCCTTGTTAGTACTCTGTGCGCTAAGAATTAGTGCTTTGTGACTAATTCACTATTGATTTTCTAAGGTAGAATTCAAACAATTCATAAACTAGAGAACAGGATTTGAGGGCAGGGTCTTGGGGTTAAGAAGGGTAAAAATCTAGATTCAGGCAAGGGACTATTCATTGCTCCTCTTCAAGGGAAAGGATTAGGAAGAACTACAAATACTGGTGAAGCCAGATTGTGAATGATTTAGCAGCTGGCATAAAAAACTACGTACAATTTATAGTGTAATTTGTGATAATATTAGCGAATGCAGCATTTTAAAAATCCTGGAATTATATAACCAATAACTAATTGCTGTTATGAAAGGAAGTGTAAATATTGCAGAATAGCTTGAAACACATAAATAGTTTATTTGTACTCCTTGACTGTTACATTAAGAGAGGAAAAGAAACACAGAGATGCAGTGCCTGAAAAATATTGAAAATGTCTACACCATAGCAGTACTTCTGTTTTTTTTTTTTAATTCAACTTGCAGAATTATGGAGACATTTCTAAAACATATTGAAAACAGAAAATGGGGTAAAGAGAATACAAGGAAGTTTATACTACTGAAAAAAAAGTTACTCTAAAAAACCCTCTTTATATTAGTAAAAGAAAGCTCCATTTGTAAAAGTCTGTATCAGCTTTAAATTAAATTAATTACACTTGGAATCATAGAATGAAAATAAAGAAGTAGCTTTATAATAAAATCAATACACTTATTTCTAAATATTCTAATACAAGGATCTAGCGTTATTTTCAACAGTTACTGGGAAGCTTAACTTTGAAACTGCTTATGGGGCAGAAAACCTTTTCAAATACCTTTTAAAAATTTTGCAGAAATCTTTCTATCCATTTTTCTTTTCCCTAAACTTCGAGCTTTGACCATCACTTTTACCTAAATGAAAAAAATATGTAACTTCTGTTCAACCTCTTGGATAAATGACAAAGTGATTGCCATTGGTTGAAGCAGGCCTATGATTAAATGCTTAAAATAAACAAAATCCTCTCTGTACATGAAGCAGCCTTAGATCAACAATCAGGTCACTTATCACTATCTCAAACTTGAGAATTCTAACATTTTGCCAAAGTCCCTGTGTTTCTGTACCTCATCATGTGGTTCTCATGCAGGTGGCCTTTTCAGTCCTTTTGCTTGACATGACATAATTTTTTCATTATACAATTTAACCAGCTAATTCCCGAGTTGTACTAAAATAGATTTTGATGCAGTTGAGCCGTGGCACCAGTGAAGATCTACATGTCCTCTTTCTGCTTTTTTTGTGCAACTCTGATTTCCACCAGCTTTTAAAAGCTCATTGTTGTGCATTAGTTTGGAAGGGATCAGCCTGAGCACAGCAGTTTTTCACATCTCTCCCTCATGTAAGAGTACTCCCCCGAGGGCTATAGGGAGTTCTTCTGAAGAAAAATTGAGAACAGCAAACTGCTGAGAAGTCAGCTTAATCAACAACTTCAGGATTATGGAGAGAAAGTAGTATAACATTTGTACGTGGGTCAGATGACATAAACAGCTGAAGTCTGTTTTTGCTTTTTTATTTAAAGCAATGACATTCTGTCAACTGCTTAATGTTGTATGATATATGAGGATGATGTATTACAGGGATTCTCACACTGGCCATGCTTTTTGCCACCATCATTAGCATGACAGCACTACACCAGCAATCGCACAAGTTCCTGCTTCTTTGCTAGGCCCCAGTCATGCACAGCAGAAGGCAAGCCCCACCTTTCTCTCACATGGTGTTAACAAGTCTAAGTTCCTTGTTGTGCTCTCTACATTCAGAAGAGGACTATAAAAGGCTCCTTGTGGTCCTGAAATTTTGGAACCTAGAGGTGTACCTCAACCCCAATCTGCAATGCATACTGCTAAGTTCAGCCAGGTGAGGCTTTCTCCTTCACAAACAGCGAGTGCTGCCAAACTGCATGAACTTTAGAACAAATGAAAAGTACCCAGTGTTGTTTGTTTTCCCTGTTTGCAGGCAGACATTTACAGCAGCCAGGAACAGATTCCCTCCATTGCCTCTCCACATAGGGCTAAAAGTTGGCTAAGTGCTGGCTCATGACTCTGGAGTTTACTATGTTGCAGTAATTTTTGTATCACGAATTGGGAACTCTTAGTCTAGAACAAAAAACTTAAGCTAAAGGTTAGTCAAACAGAATTTAGACAATCCAGAAGAAAGAATTAATTTGCTGCAACAGCTTATATTACTGCCTGTTTAGTTCTATTTTTAGGTGTTGAGATCTTCTTAGGTACACAGATTAAGTTACAGGATCCTGAATGGCAGAAATTTGAAAGGAGTGTGATCGAGACATCATAGTGAGGGCAATCATTCTGAATGAGTTTGACTGGCTAAAGTTGTGTGGCAGTGGAAGAAAGACCAATATTTGGAACTGAATATGAATTTAAAACATTGGATGGGAGGAGGAATCATATGATTATTTCTTCCATGTGTGTGAAAAGAACAAACATCGTAACAAACTGGAAGAGCTGTTAAGTTGTTAAGGGAAATCTGAACTGTAATACTTAAAAGCCAAAAGGTATGCCTGTGGGTTTTTTTAATGCAAGTTCTTAATTTACTAGTATCTAGTAATTAAATATTTTAACATGTCATGGAGGAATAAGTTCATCAGAAAAACACTGCATAAATGAAATTGTGTAGGCTTGTGGAAACAGCTGTTGAAATCTCAGTGTAAAGCAGTGAATATTAAAATGAAAGTTGAAATTTCACAGGGAATGAAATATCTCGTCAGCTTTATTGTAAAGTACTTTTTAAAAAGAAAAAGCTTTGGAAAGTTAAGAGGCATGGTATCTGGCAAGCTCTCTTATTTTGCTTTGTGTGCAGGAATTTTCAGAGGATTCCATAAAGGCAATAATGCTCAGTCTAGGATTAAACACTGGAAGTACTTTTTCCTTCACTTGGAACAGCATTCATGCATGTACACTGCAAGGTACATCACATTATAAAGTTCAAGCCACAGCATTCCTTTCCTATTTTATGTACTTGACATATGGCATGGTATGTCTGTGTTGTTCTTACTGATTAAGAGTAGAAACACATTTTACATGTAGGAATTATCCACTTTCTTCACCACTACAGCCTGACTGTAATTCTAACCACCCCAAACATATGCACTTTTTGTTCAAAATTCTGAGTTGTGGGAGACATCTTTCCCTTTTGCCTTATGTTCTTCACCTAAATCCTACAGTTACAGGTTATTAAGTAATCTGTTGAGTTGAACTAAAGGCCAATGAATTGCATTTTTTTTTAAAGTCAGAAATCATAACTTAACTGGAAAAATACCCTACAGCTTTTACATAAAAAATAAGTCTCCACTTATTGTTAGGTTATGACAGCCAGTTTAGAAAAGGTCAGGAAAGGCAACATTAGTATTAGTGAGAATGTGTCCATTTCTGATTAAAGTTAATAGACAATTTGAGGACAGATTCTACGAAACAAATCTGGAATCACAGTAATGCAAGACTTGTTTTTGTCTCTGCTTAGTTGCTTTTAAGAGTGGAATGCTTCAGTGTCTGACAGGATCCTGCAATACTAATTGGAACTAAGTATATGCTCACTCCTCTTCGATAAAACCATCTTTTATGGAGGGGAAACTTTTAATGCAAAACAGTACAAACCTCTTTGCATCGTCCCAAGACTGCATCCTGTGTGATGCTAGAGAAGACCAGGTGAATTGCTGGAAGAAAGTTAGATGTTCTGAAGGTGAATCTGCGCTCCACGTGGTAAACGAGGAGTTACACATTTCTGTGAATGAAAGACAGTGACATTACTGAGGTCTGTCTTGTACACCAGCACACCACAAAATACTTAGCATGAATACAGGACAACTATCAATGGGCTTAAGTTACAAGATCACAGTTAAACATCAGCAAAGTCTTTCTTAATGGGAGTAACAGCACATATTGCCTGTGGAGGTTTTTTGGCAAAGGTAATTAAATGTCTACCGAGACTAGGAAATGTACAGTTGGGGAAAAGAAGACTAAGCGAATGACTTCTTAAAGTCTCTTGCAGCTACATTGTTTTTAATTCTTTGTTCTGCAAGGATTTCTAGAACGTTCTGGAAAGATGCAAACTTTCCCTAGAAAAACGATTTGGGCAAGCAATACTCAAGATCTGGCAGAAGCTCCAACATTTATCCTTTGCATCCTCTCTCCTCCATATTTATAATGACTGTAAAACAAGCTGTTAATAAACTTTTAAAGCTATTTTTAAGTTTTCAAAAGAAAAAAAAATCCTTTTACTTGAAATCTTAGACCCTCAGTGGCCTAAATGCTACTCTCTCCTGATGGGAGAAAAAGAAAAGGTCCTAAAGATCTTTTCTTTTGCACAAGCGCTGGCACAAAGTCTATTATATAGCCTTTATAAGGCTATTTTTTAACATTGACGTGGTAGTTCTCGCAGCCATCAAGCGAGAGCGGGGTTCCGCTTTCCCCGTGTCTTGCACTGATACACAGGGGACGCCCGATGCCTGCGTGAAGCCAGCAACGCGAAACCTCACCCGCCTGTAACGACAGTCCCGGACAAGCGGTGTTATCCCCCTCAAACGTGGGGACTGCAAGACGGGCAATAGCACTTTGGAGAAACTGCCAAATGTGAGCAGTCCGACGTCAAAGGATACTGGCGTTTTGGGGACTGGTGCCCGGCAGAGGATTAAGGAGAGCTGTATTTCTAGGCGCGCCGCGGCTGTGGTCTGCAACTGACTCAGCCGCGCCCGGGCACGGGGCAACCTCTGGAAGCCAGCCCTTCCCATTTTAAGCAGCTACCTTTGCCGCTACTAAGGAGAGCGGAAAAGCGCATCGGCTCACCGAGGTTTAAGGCAAGGGAGGCGAGCAGCTGAGGCGGAGGGGCTCACAGCGCGCCTCTGAACCGGATCTCTAAGTTTTGAGGAGAAGAAGCGGGGCTGGCGCGGCCGGGGATCGGCAGACGC